TTTTCTTTTTTCTTTTTTTCTTTTCTTCCTTTTCTTCCTTTTTCTTTTTCCTCCCGTGTCTTGCTCAGACCCTTTTCTCTCTCTCTCTCTCTTCATTCTCTCACTCCCTCTCTCGGTTCTCTCTCTCGTTTTGAACCAAAGGAAAGTATCAAAGCGTTTTCAACGTCAAGAGAAGGATTCAAGGTAAGATTTCTGAAAAACCTCTCTTGAATCTCTAGATTTCAGATTCTAAAACTTATTTTTTGTTCGAAACGAATTTTTACGGATTTTGAGTAAAACTAGGGTAGAAATTGGAGATCTCGGGTTCTTTGGACTTGTTTTAGGACCTAGGACCCGGATTTAGTGGTTGTCCATTGAAATATTTTGGTTTGGGACTAGATTTGCAGGTTTTCAAACTGATTTCCGTGAGTTTTCTCGCACTGGAGTTCTACACTGGTCGACCGATGTGGTTGACCGGACTACACTGAGGCCACCGGTCGACCGGATTGCACACCACCGGTCGACCGGTGGTCATGCACTATTCTGTCACCGATCGACCGGATAACACGAGGTTTGACCCTGTTTGGCCTGAAATTGCTATTTTTGACCCCTGTTTTTTGGGAGAACCCAAATTAGCTATATTTGGGGACTTCAGATAAGTGGATTAGCATCTTTAATCCTTGTTTTGAAATTGAAAATCCTTGGAATGATAATTTGAAACATGAAATCGGATTAGGGCACACTAATTGAAAATCTTGGTACATATTTGAGATTGGATTGCTTTAGGAATAAGAATTGATCCTAAAGTGTTGTCTTGTATCAGTGATAGCTGAGGATTCAGACTGAATGGATGGAGGAAGCGGAAGCTGAGATAGTGCGTTGCTAGCCACAGGTTTGGTAAATTTGAGGTAGGATTTCTATCCCTTTTCCTTGTGAGCCTGATTTTTGAAAAGAATTTTGGCCTTGAAAATGTTATCAAGAAAGGGGTTGGTTTGCGAAAGAAAATCTCTTTGAAAACCATGACTTGTTTAGTTCATGGAATCCATGGCTTGTTTAGTCATGGAACCCCATGGCTTGCCCAGTCATGGGGCCCGCGTCTTGAGTAGTTCGTGGGGTCATATTAACGATTTCATAATGTTAAATGAATGGTTTCTTAAGATAAGAGATCTTGTGAACCGGTAAGAATTTTTTGCTGTAAGCCTAGATAGGGTGCGGAGAGTGCATCCTCGGGGGCAGAACCCGAAACTCGGTCCGGATAGGCGAGGCACTTGGTAGGTGAGTAATTTGTACTAATTTCTTGCTGATGCCTGTAATACGATTATTTTCAGTTATATTTCCTTTGAGAAAAAGGATGTGAGGTTCCGGCTGCCTGTCGGAACTGAATGTCTTATTTTATTTACTTATTCATTTATTTATTCATTGCTCATTTATTATTCATTTATTTATACAGTCATTTCAAACTACATTCTACTAGGCCTTTCGCTCACGTTTTATGTTTTAAATGTATTAAAACCCTCCCAGGAGATTCTAGGAGCGGTGCACAGTAGCGGGATATTTGCTACGGAGTAGCTGAGTTGTGCTACGGATCGATCAAGTGAGGATTGTGTTCATCCTCTGACATAAAAGTGTAAGGAATCGAGAATTCTGTAAACTCATGTAATATTTAGATTTACTAGACTGTGGTTGATGTCTGTTGTAATTGAGTATTTACATGTTCATGTATGTACAATGCCATATATCCTATGGGTGGAGCCCTGTGTGTTGTCAGCGGCTCGGGATTTAGAAATTTATATTAGATTTTAATGGAGTTAAGTTGGGCTCATTTGGGAATCTGCTTTATTAACGCCTAATTGAGCTCCACGTCACCCACCCCGTTTGGGAGGCGTGATAGACCGTGTTGAAAACATAGGTCCGACTCTCAAATTGAGATTGTTGCCATGGACGGTTTTAGGGAGAGAACGTGCAAGAGGAGAGAGAGAAACGCGTGAGAGGAGAGAGAAAGAGTGAAAATTTTATAATTTTACTAAGTATACTGTTGAATCGAGTCTAGTTTATCACTAGAGCTTATCCTTAAAAATTCTCTCCAAATAATTATAATTTTTTATGGCTGGAGATAACTTATTTGGCCGACGGTAAATTTAACGAGTCATTTTTTATTATTTACTTACAGTCCAATATTAATCTCCAAATAGTTCAATATCATTTTATATTCTTAATTGTATACTAAATTGGACTGTTTCACATCTTAAAACTATTTCTGGGCTTAATAGTCAAAACTTGACTTTTCTGTATTTTGCCTTCTCTCTCTCATAACTATTTCTCGTAACTAACGCCAAACCTTAACATTATAAGCTCTCTACTTATATTTTCTTATGAATCTATCAACGTAATTATGAAAAATCCTTAATTAATTTTACTTATTAATTATTAGATTTTTTGGGACATTACAGAAGATGGCTGAGACAAATAGAAAAGGGAAAATGGTATTGAATGAAATGTAAGGCTCTGATTAGTGCATGAAAATGCACCTTAAATACTGCTTTTGATTATATAATATTAAAATATTTAAGCTTTAATTAAACAATTTCATTATTTTTATTCATAATATTTTTCATTGGAATTTGTTTAGTTGTTGCTTGATTATTTACAGATAAAAAGCAGTGTGAAAAGCTACACTAAAATAAGCCATGAAAGCTATATTTTCAACAACCATGAGCCAAGCCATTCAGCTAAGCCGAGTCAAAGCCACCGAGCCAAGCCACTGCACAGTTAGCGCGGAAATCCGCGCCCATTTCTCCTGCCATCGCGCGCCTCGCGCGTCAACAGCACGCGGCACCTCAGGGAGCGCGTCCCATGCATGCGCGTTCTCTAGCGCGTTCCAAGGCTTTCCTCGCATGGGCCCCGCGTCTGCTCACGCCAGACCTGCCGGTCACTCCGCACGCGACACTTGTCCAATGCGGGTCCCAGCTGTCCTCCACTCTGACTCCGCGCCAGCACACTCCACCACTCCAAGCGCGACACGTGGCGCGTTTTCTCCTCACTACCAATCAAGCGTCGACACGTGTCCCTCCTGTGCTGAATCCAAATTCCTTCCCCAAAAATCAGAGCAAATTACCAGATTTCTTCCCAAATCAAATATATGATTTCTCCTAATTTTTGTGTAATTTTATTTTGTTTCCTTTTCTTTTGTAATTTTCTAGTTTTACTATTTATTTCCTTATTTGACAGGCAACCTCTGAACACTATAAATAAAGGGGTTAGCCTAAGATTTTTAGAAGTTTTTATTCAGTTTTCTGTCGTTTTGCTGTCAGTCTCATATTTACTCTCTAGAACTTGTGAGAATGTTTTGCAAGATAGGCTAGAGTTTTCTTGGTGAGGTTAGAGATGAACTTCTGTTGAGTGATCCAATTTTGAGTTTTGATTCCTTGTGCTGTAAAGTTCAACATCTGAATGAATTAAATCTCATCTATTTTTCTATTACTTTTCAAAATATTGTGTGCCAATTTTTATATAAGTTCAGTCACGCTTTTCTTATGTAATTATGTCACGCATTGTTTTGTCATTCAAATTATTTTATAAATTGTCTTTTACTGCAATATTGTCAGATTGATATATTTGTCGATTTTAGATAACTTGTAATAATAATATTTCTGGAGTGAACATAGAGATTTAATTTATTCAGTTCTTTTATTTTGTGAATCAAAACTGGAATTGGTGAACGAAACATTAGGAATTCTCGCCACCTTACCGTTTTTATTATTGAATTTTCTTCATACAAATTCCCTCATTTCTATTTTATTTGCAACAAAAACCCCAAAAACTCTCATTTTTCTTTGATTCACTTTTCTCTAATGCTCTTATTATGTTAATCATTCTTGTTATTTTGTTATCCCTCTGTGGATACGACCGCCCTTTTGTGCTACAATTGACGGCTTGTGAATATCACTTTTGGGCGTTAATCAAATTTTGACACCGTTACCGGGGAGGTGCTATTAGCAAGACTGATCAGTAAATTTTTAAGCCAAAGAGATAAGTGCATTTTTTTTTTATTTTACTCAATTTCTCTTTCTGTTACGTTAGTTATACATTTATTATTATTGTTATTTTCTTTTCTTCTTATCTTTCTCGTTTCTTATTTAAAAAAAAAAATTTGCTGCAAACTTTTGTTTTTTTGTTTTTTTTATTTTTATTTTTTTACCGTCACTTATTTAAAAAAAAAAAAAAGAGTGAAGGAAAGTGGCTGAGAGTTAATGTGACTTTCACGTGGCTGCAAGTTAACATAATTCATAGTGACTGCTTACCTTTTTTTCATTTTTTTTTTCGTAGTTGTGATTGTGTTGTTAAAAAAAACAAAAAAAAAAAAAACCTCACACTTTTAGGATTTGCTTTTATTGTTAATTTTATTTTCCCTCTTTAATTTTAGAATTGATTGTGATTTGATTTTGTAATCTTTTATTTTTGATAAATTAGGATTTTATTTTGTTTCCATGTTTGAGTAATTTAATTGTTAACTATTATATTGTTGCCTAATTTAATTTTTCCTTTTATAGTTTTCATTAATTCTTAGGATTATAATTTAGATTGTAATTAATTGACTAATTTAGATTCTTAATCTGGGATTTTCATTATTTGGTAGGTTTAGGCTGTTGACTTTAGGAATAGTTGACATTAATTAGATTACATTTTATAATTTATTCAATAAAATTTAATAATTGATTTTGAGGATAATTGTGTGATTACGTAGAAAGTACAATCTGAGGGAGTTCTGTGTAGGAAAGAAAGTTGGTACTTAAGTGGGCATCGCCCCACCAATCTTTCCTGGGAACGTTGCTCTGTCTAGGAGACTATTCATTGAGCCAAGAGCTATAGTCTTTCCTGGGAGCACCCTCGGTGGTTACAATTTACGTTACTATATAGTTATTTTCTTTTGCTTTGATTAAAAATAAAAACAAAAACAAAAAAAAACCAAAAAAAAAATTAAAAAAAAATCAAAAATTAAAAAAAAAAACCGCTTTGGGTGAATGCATCGGTATAGAGACGAGCTAGAGAGATTCGCTCAACGTCTAGACCTAGAAACCCCTAGTGAAATTCTATCTGACTCGTCTTCTACGTCTCCGTCTTCACACTCGTCGTTGGAATTTGCAATGGCACAACACGAGGAAGTTCAGCAGAGGACGTTGCAAGATTATCTGCACCCAACGCGCACGGCCACCACATCGTGCATCATGTTCCTGCCAAATGCACTGCCTACGGATTTTAAGCCGGGCATGATTGCACTTCTCCCAACCTTTCACGGATTAGAGAACGAGAATCCATATGTACACATCCGGGAGTTTGAAGAGGTGGTGGCCACCTTTCACAGCCGTGCTGAGGCTGCAAACATCGTCAGGTTGAAGTTTTTCCCTTTCTCTCTGAAGGACAAGGCCAAAAGCTGGCTGTATTCTCTTAGGCCCAAGTCTATTGGTACGTGGGAAGAAATGACGACAACATTTTTCAACAAGTATTTCCCACACCATAAGACTAACAATTTGAAACGACAAATCTCGAATTTCGCTCAGAAGGAAAACGAAACTCTCTATCAAGCTTGAGGGCGTTTTGCGTTTTAAAGATCTGTTAAATCTGTGTCCCCACCATGGATATGAAAGTTGGCGCCTCGTAAGCTATTTCTACGATGGACTCACAATCCGAGAGCGCCAATTTGTTGAGATGATGTGCAATGGAGAATTTCTCCAAAAGGATCCTGACGAAGCTATCGAGTACCTGAACGAGTTAGCTGAGAAAGCTCATACTTGGACTGGACCGAGTGCTACTGAGAGCACCAGTAGGTCCCGAGCAGTTAGAGTTTATCAATTAAGGGAAGAGGACAGCCTCAAGGCCCAAGTTGAGGCTTTGACGAAGCAAATCGAGGTCCTCAAAAGTAAAGATAGTAAAGGACCCCACATGGTAGCAAGGACAGAGGCACATGAGCCCTGTTTCGTTTGTGGTGGAATGGGCCATCTGGCTCAAGATTGTCTCACTTTTGGTGAAATGAGAGGGGTATACAAGGAGCAGTGCAATGTATTGGGCACATACAATAAGCCTAATGGACCTTTCTCAAACACTTATAATGATAGCTGGAAACACCACCCAAACTTCAGTTGGAGAGATCCAAACCAACATGCACAATCATCTGGAGGGCAATGGAAATCAGAGCAACAATCTCAACCACCAAGGACATATTTTGCGCCTCAGAATAACATGCAGCCGAAAGGGAATTCTCTAGAGGATACCCTAAAAGCTTTTATGGATGCGCAAAATAAGACAAATCAAAGAGGTGATTCAACGCTCACGCAGCTGGTGGAAGAGAACAAGGAAATAAAAAGTCAGATCACAAAGCTGACAGAAGCTTTAACCGTTCAAGAGCATGGTAGATTTCCATCACAAGCCTAGTCCAATCTGAGAGGACAAAACATGGCTCAAACTTCCAACTTTGAAGGTCAAAACATCAAGGAAGTTAACGCCATCTCTACTCGAAGTGGTAAGAATTCGAACATGCCATCGACAAGTAGTACCACTTCAAGTAATGAAGAATCGGCTCAGAAGAAAGAAGAGCCAACAAAAATTCCGACAAAGGTGCCTTTTCCCCAAGCTCTCCGACCTGCTGGGAAAATGCCAAAAAATCAAAGTGAGATCCTGGAGCACTTGACACAATTGAAGATCAATCTTCCCATACTACACGTGATCAAGCAAGTGCCGGCCTACGCTAAGGTTATCAAGGATCTGTGCACCATAAAGAGAAAGCACCACGTCAAGAAGACTACATTCTTGACGGAATAAGTGAGCGCGGTGATTGAGCAGAAGACACCGCCGAAGTATAAAGATCCAGGTTGTCCTACCATTTCTTGCCAGATCGGGACACATGAATTCGGCCAAGCGTTACTAGACTTAGGATCGAGCGTGAACCTCATGCCTTATTCGGTATACTCGCAATTGGGTCTTGGAGAGATTAAGCCCACATCTGTGGTTCTGCAACTAGCCAATAGATCCATTAAGAGACCACGGAAAATAGTAGAAGACGTTCTATTACAAATCGACAGGTTTTATTACCCCGTGGATTTTCTTGTCCTGGATACACAATCCGTGGTGAATATGGAGTCATCAATTCCCATCATTCTAGGAAGACCTTTCCTTGCCACAGCAAACACACTTATCAATTGTAGGAATGGTCTCATGAAGATATCTTTCGGGAATATGACCCTTGAGGTGAATATTTTTCATATTCAAAAGCAACCACGTGATGATGATGAGTGTCACCAAACATTTATGATCGACACACTTGTCGAGGAGGGGGTTCTGCCGCAAAGCAACTCTAAAGATCTGGAAAACCTCCTCCAAAATTCTGAATCTAAGAGTTCCAATCCTTTTGAGGTGGCTAACAGTTCTGCCATTTTCAAAGAATCACAGGACAGAGGAACCAAGTTTGGGTCACCATGTTTTCAGGAGCTCCCAACAGGAGAAAAACCGAAATCATCCACCGAGGAGGCTCCAAAAGTCAAACTAGCCCAACCACCTGAGGGCTTAAAACATGCATTCTTGGGAGATGAAGGCACATTCCCAGTCATCATCTCATCTAAACTCGATCCATTGCAAGAACAATGATTGATCGACATGCTAAAAGAGCGCAATTCTAGGATCAAGGTAGAAATGAAAGCGGCTCATGACAAGCAGATCCTGAAGAAGAATTACTTTGAGCGGGTGAACCAAGTGGAAGAGATCATTCTCGACGACCCCGTTTACCCGTCCTGAGTAGTTTGCTCACATCTTCTGTACCATATTTTGATTTTCTATTTTTCTTTGCTTATTTTTACATTTTTTTTTATGTGTGTTTTTGGAGAATCATATCATGAAGCTCATGCTGTGCTCATAAGTGGAAAGTTCATCGTCCAGGTGTCTTCTTTCTCTATATTTCTATAATTTTTGACACTAAGGACATTGTCTAATTTTGGTTGGGGGTGGTGAGCATATTCATGCGTAAGAGTGATTTTTGTCATGTTGATATTTGGGTTAAAATTTTTGTAAAGTTGTCTGAGTATGATTCAAAATGATTGGTTTGGGTCGATTTTTGTTGTCTTGGTTACAAAGAAATGACTTCCAGAGTTTCTTTTTGCACGTACTAAACCTTGTGGTAAGATGGATGTTAATGCATGTCAGCTGAGAAAATTCTCGAGTTTAAGTGCTTGATTTTTGGTGAGTAGAGAAAATGACTTTTGAACCTTCATTGATCTTTTGAGCTGGTAAAATCACTGTTAGAACATCATTACATGGTTAGTGGTATGCTTGGTGCATATGCTTGAGGGATGGATTTTGGGTTAGATAGGAATGATCTTATGTAATAGAGCCTCATTTCTTATTTTTCTATAAAAAAAAAAACTGAGTAAGAGCAACATTTCACAGATCCTGTAGTTTGGTGTTAATCACATTCGATGCTATATAGCTATTTGTTAAAAGAACACCTTTCTACATTCACTTCAGGTT